TCTCAAAGGTAGAGGAAAATATTTTAATCATTCCAGAAAGTGCCCTTATGCTCTTTGTAGTCTTCCCAGCCACCAGGGGCAACCTCTTTGTGATTTGTATCACTATAAATTATTTTTTGTCTTTGGACTTTAAATAAATGTATTCATATGTTCTTACTATTATAACCACCACTCAAAAGAAGATTTAGAAAATTAACTTCTTACTGTCCTTTTTCCATTTACACATGGATGCCTGTCCATATTTCTGCATTAAGTCATGAAGTAATCAAAAGATAAATTGCCACAAGTAAGAGGATGATTGCCTCCTATAGCACAGTAAGTGATAAGCTAGAGGAACTTTGCTTTAAATACTTGATGTTTTGTTTTCTTCCTTCCAGAAAGCGGCGTGGAGCTTTTAACAGCAAGCAGCTTTTGTATTTGGAGAAGTATCGTCCTAAAATGCGGCTGCGCTTCAAAGACTCCAATGGTCATAGAAACAACTGTTGCATTCAGTAGAAGTGGGGTGCCTGGTGCCATGCCTTGGGAGTGGAACTTGAGACAGGACCGGATTTGTCATACATACTAGCCAACACATTGGCTTGGTGAATAAGTCAAATGAAGCTTCCATAGGAGTGTTGAAAAGCAGTTTTACCAGACCACAAGCCTGGCAGAATTACAGCCTCTATGTTTGGGTTATGATCAACTGATTTGGACACTTAGCAAAAGATTCTTGCTGTTTAGCATTTAAAATGTGCTTATCATTTGTTCATTTGTACCAATTGACCTTTCCTGAAATCACGCAGTATTCAGTTATGTCTTTAAATGTTTCCATGCCAGAATCTTATCAATATTTAAGAAATTTAGAAAGATTAGGTGCCAAAATACCCAGCACAATACTTGTATATTTTTAGTATCATATAGAACTAAAATCCCAGGAACTATGAAAACTCTGGACCTTACGTGGTTTATTCCTTCCATCATTTCAAACTTAGAACATAAGTAAGGGCCTATGTGGTTATTTGCTCACAGTATGTTTACATCTCCCACGTCATCCCAGTATACATCAGATTTGCTCCTTTTTTTTTCTTTTTATTAACCAAGTCTTAACAGTGATTATTTAATGTCTTTCTATGAATCTCATTTTGTGCTGTTAAGGAAAACCTCCGTTTTGAAAATCTACATTGTACAGAAGCACATGTCTTTAATGTATCCAGACGAAAAAGCCTTACAGTTAATTTTAACGTTTGCACTTTGGGGTGCAACTTACAGGGAGGGCCTGAAAAAAGAATGGGAGGGGGCGATTAAGTATTTTTAGTAAAATGTTGCCTTTGTCTTGTGCAGAACATGTAGAATATGCGCTTTAATTTAGTAAATATTTTTTTAAAAGGTAGAAATACTTTGTTATTGTAGCTAAAACAATTCTTAATCATAAAATTTCTGAAATTCTTGTAATTTTTTTTCATACTTAATCTGAAGTTGTTTACCAACTTATTTTTGTTTGAAGTATGATTCCCAATCTCTTGCAAAAAAAAAAGGGTTTCTGCTAATGAATTGAGCAGACATTTAATATTTTATATGCCTTTTGAGCTGTGTAACTTAATATTTGGATACTTGACAATTTGTTTTATTATGTAATTGATAAAATGGTGATGTGTATTAACGTTAGCTCAACCATATATTTATACTGTCCGGGAACATGTGGTTATAGTTCTGTGGGGGAAATAATTTGTCAGTGTTCACCAGCTTGTAAAAATCTAGTGCGAGAGCTTAAACATTAAATAAAGAATGAAATGCATTTATCATCATTGACATTATTTCGCTTAAAGTTAACTTAGTTTGTAAAGAAATGATATGAAACAATTGTGCTTCACTTAGTGCCATTTGAAGTAAAGTGTGTTATTTTTCTTTAACAAATGAAGGAGCAGATGAAGTTAGCACGATAAGCTCTTTAATAGGGTTATGAGAACCGTTTCATATTGAGTACTTTGCATTACAAACAAAATATTTTTAAAGGTTTAGATAATTTTGAACCAATGTACTGTTCTGTACCGAGGAGAAACTAGTAGAGGAAGCCCTTGGTTTGAACTTCATTCCACCAACTAGTGACTGGTTTTGAACAACTTAACTTCTGAGCCTTGGTTTTTCTCATTTGCATATTAATATTTACATACCTTGATAGGTTTTGGAATTCATTCAAATGAGTTTTAGGCATGTGAGTTCTTAACTGTTGTTTCATTAATCTGAAATACTTCTGCATAGCTCCTGTTAATCTAAAGGGACAAACATCCTTGTCCCCTTTTTAATCGATAAAACTAAGTAAAAGCCTCAAAATTTGAGTAAAAAATGATTCTCCACTTCATGTTTTAAAGAATTTGCTTCCATCTCTTCATGCGAGTTTAGCATTTAATATACTCCATTCTGAAAACTTAGAACCAGGGAAAAAGGAACAAAAAGGACACCTGAGGGAGATTGCCTTTTCTAATCTGAGGTCTTTGTGACTGGGGCTAGTAACTTAACATGGGTAGTTTTGTTTGCAGCCTACTCTTGGGAAGATGATTTTGTGTAATTGATTACTGAATAATTATACAACCCATAAAACATTGTTTTTATTGAGAGGAGGTGCCATCATGACTCATGAAAAATGTCTTGAGTTTGAAACGTTTAGTTCAAATATATGGTGCTAAAAATCAGTTTACTTTATAAACCTTACCTGTATAGTGTTTAACATGATGAGATTTGCTTTTTATCCAAGTATATTTTATCTCATAAATACGACTAATAACAGAAATACCCATAATACATCCTAGGAGATGACATACATGTAATAGTTAAAGTAGAAATAATGAGTTCAGGTCTTGAACACAAGAAGTTATCAGATGGTGTTCTACAATTTGGTTAGTTGATTTGGGACAATTTTCGCTTAATAGGATGATGTAAATAGCGACTAGTTGACTAGGCTTGTCTATGAGGACAAAAATGTTGGCATTACTAAGTCATAACAAGGGAAAACGCAGTCTTTTTAAGTTGAAAGAAGAAGAAAAAAAAACTAGAAATGCCAACGGTCACTAGCAGCAGTGCACTGAACCTTCATTTGTTATTCCTCCTAATGCCTTTTCCCAGGACAGTGCTCTTTTGTTCCCATAGCTCCATGCTTAGAAGCATCCAGTCCAATCCAGGCATGCGATCACCTCTGGTCACGTCCCCCTTCCAGCTGAAGCACTTAAAAATGATACTGTGGTCCCTCAACTTGGCTTCAGAATCTCAATCTCTGGAATCAGTTTTAAAATGCCATTCTGTTCATCTAATATCTAAACATTTAAGAGTATGGCAGAGAATACAAAAGCTGGTGTCATCAGATTTTGGTCACCAAATTTTGGGTACCCCAGTCAATGCTTTCTATTGGCGTTCAAAGCAATGTAATTTCAAAGGGAAATGGAAGCGTGATTACTTTTTTTCGTACGTAGACACTGAAGTTCTTTTGAAGTACAGTTTTGAGAAAACATGAAGTGTTTGCCCTACATGTTTATCCTGTGTATCCCCTGGTTCCTTAAATAGTATGTACCTCAACACCTGAGTTGAAAATTCAAGATAGGCTTAAAGTGTGTAACACAACGTTTATGCATTGTTTGGGGTAATAAGCCTAAGCGGAATCTTAGAAGGAAAGCCAAGAAAAATGTATATATATATTGGCCTTCAATTAATTAAGCCAGTTGTATGCATTATGAATGGGAGACGTAGTAATTCTACAACTTGATATATATTGCCAGACTAACCAGATGATTAATATAGCTATTATGACAGCTACCATTTATTAAAGATTTTATAATGTAATTTTCGTAGTTTGATTACCTTTAAATAATCCTATATTGTCCTAAATTTATACATAAGGGATTTGAGCCTTTAGTTAGGTGCCTAGCTGTTAAGTGGTAAAAACTCTGGGATTCAAACCTGTGTGACGATCCACTACACCACACTGCAATGACTGTGTGTGTATGCCTCACCATTTTTTAATGTAACCAGTTGTTAAAGCTTTTGAGTTCTTGAACTCGTTGCCTATAGAAATAGTTTTTCTTAAGAACATTGTTCTTACAATGTTCATTGTAAATACTGTGATTTTGTAAATTTCTTCGTTGAGCTTGAACCCTTTTTTTACTTTTGCAGAAAAGCCTTCTTGAATTCAGTCAGGATAGGCTAAAATATGCTGCAGAAACCACCAACCCTGAGAGTAACTTGAATTCATTTCTCACTGAAGTTTCATACCTGTCACAGGGACCCTAGCTTATAGAGTGTCTGCTCTCTGAAACAGTGCTAGTTGTGACAGAAGGCAAAAAAGGCTTTGGAGTATAACATAAATTCTAGCGTAAGAAGTCATACATAACACTTCTATTCAACTCATTGGACAGAACTGGCCGCCCAGCACAGGAAATGTAGCCTATTGTACTGACAAGCCACACAGCGTTAATCGCTACACATCAGAATGTAAAGTAGATTCATTTTTGAAGACGATACCCTTGCAGCACCCCACGTAACTGAAATACTGCCGAGGTAGCAATGTTCATATCAGACAAGGTAGACTTTGTTTTTTTCTGAGTAAAGGTAGATTTATTTAGAGAGATACATACTGCGTAGAGTGCAGGCTGTTTCAAAAGGCAAGAGAAAGGCCACGAGGTGTAGGGGTTGGGTGTTCAGGTAAAGTAAAAGCAGGCACACACTCCACAGACAGGGTGCAGGCCATCTCTGAGGAGGAGGGAGCAAGAGAGGCGGCCACCAGGCGTGGTGGTGCGTTTTTATGGGCTCATTAGCTCCATACCTACAAGTGGGAGGTCTAGTCCAGCTGCCCTGAGGAAAGGGCTGGGGTTCCCAGGAATTGGGCCACTGCCCACTCTCTGACTTTCTGTGGCTCACCTTGGGACTGCCATGGCGCCTGTGGGCATGTTATTTATCATGCTAATATGTTGCATTGGGTGTATATGGAAGCTCAAGGTCTACTAGAAGTTAAACCTCCCACCATCTTCATCCCCAAGGCCAACTGGGAGTTGAATCTTCCACCATTTTGGTGTTAAGTTGCTGTCATTCCTTGAATGGCTCTGCCTGCCCCCTTCCATCCTGTCTCATTCCCCCCTCAGAGATTTTACTCCCATAATTTTTTGGGGTGCAGAGGAGCAATGGTCTGTCTTTGGAAACTGCTTAAGGGCTGAGCTGGGGCACTGACCCTCTATCTCAATACCTAATCTAGGGCTCCCGGGACAGGACAGCTTGTTTTGAGTTAGATGGCGGTGTCCTCACATAGCTGTCATTTTGATGTGGTAACTGTTGTCACCGCTTCCATAGCCTTCTTATGAATCTTCTTGAAGATGAAGCACTTTTGCAATAGCACCAGAGAGCTGTCTATAAATGACAAAAGACTTAAAAGGCATGGTTAAGTACCGAATTACAACGTAATCAGTGAAAAGACTTGGTCACAACCACCAGAATTATGACCGATTACATTTAACTTAACTTACCAAATGATCTTAGTTCATTTACTGTTTCTCTGAAATGCCTCAGGGTTCCTCTTCCACAAACCTTCCACAACTTTCTGTATCCATATTATTTTGTCCCCTATTTTCTTTTCCATTTAGAAGCAAACGGCTTTAGTATAAAAATCTGCTTTCTTCTCACTTAACAAAATGCAATTCCATTCCTTATACCTTCTTTTACTGAAAACACGCATCTTACTTTCGGGCATCCTGACATGTTTCCCTTATTCATTTAGTACCTTTAATTTTACTTTCCTTCCTAGGTGCAACAGAAGCATTATGCTTAACGTTGATGACTGTAAAGATATGTCTGTATTAATCAAACCAACAGATGTAAGCTAGCTTCTATCCCAGATACCTATTCAATACTGAATATTTTCCAGATCCCATGAACCTGAAATTCACTCTGGCGAGTTATGTTTCTATTTCTAAGTATTTACATAAGCAAGCAATTTCCTATAGCCAATTAGATAGTGCTCTTTTACAAATTAATTTTGGCAATGCCACAGGTCTACAACACACATATAGATACATACAAACACACAAACACAGACCTCATAGTTCCCATTCCAGAATGTCAGCCATGAATCAGGTACAATGTTAAGACTCATCAGTTACAAGAGATTGGATTCAAATCAGGTTTCTGGAAGATGAAAACAGTCAAAGTTGCACATCTAGATGACTAAGACACAAGATTTCTATTTGTCCTTAAGAAGTCCGTTTCCAAATTACTTACCCCCTTTCTCGAAATGTGTATTTTAAAAAGATGGTGAAATAGGGGTTTACCTGGAGAAGACCAGGTAACACTTCCGTCTCAAAGGCTTGAGGAGAAAAACAAGTTGCTCCTAGGATGGCTTTATGCTCCTAATGCCAGAAAAAGTTTTTTTCAATACTCACAAGTTTCTTAAGATAAGTAGGGATGGCTTTTGGGAGTGGTAAAAGGATTGCCATTTGCAGCAACATGGATGGACCTGGAGAATATCATTCTAAGTGATGTAAGTGAAAGAAAAATACCATATAATATCACTTATATGTGGAATCAAGAAAAAAAGACGAACTTACAAAACAGAAAAAGAGTCACAGGCATAGAAAACAAACTTACAGGTTACTGGAGGGAAAAGAGGTGGGAAGGGAAAAACTGGGAGTTTGAGATTTGCAGATACGAACATATATAAAGTGAACAACAAGTTTATACTGTATAGTCCAGGGAACCATATTCAATATCTTATAGTAACTTACGGTGAAAAAGAATATGAAAAGGAATATATGTCTGTTCCTATATGACTGAAATGTGCTGTACACCAGAAATTGACAAAAAGTTGTAAACTGACTATACTTCAATACAAATGTTTTAAAAAACATCGTGCTATTGAATATTTTTGTTACATTAAAATTTCTGAATAAAAGAGTACACTTCAAAGAAAGAAGAAAAAAAAAAGAAGAAGTTGCTAGAAGTCAACAAACCAGAAAGCACAGAGCACAGATGACATTTCACTGTTTAACAGACCAGCACCAACCCAATGCTGAGACCCCACTGCTCCCAGGGCTGCCAATGTCACCACCAGGAAGGGCGCACTCACAGGAGAGCACCCTGCACAGGTACTGGACCCGAATGTGCACAGCTTGGAGCAGGATCTTGACACGCTTTCCAGGAGCCAGTCTAACTCTATGACTTTCAGTAAATAAGAGTTTCTTTCCCACTTTTTAAAAAACAGCTTTATTGAGATATAAGTCACATTTCCCACCATTTTAAGTATATAACTTAACGGCTCTTAGAGCATTCACACTTTCTTCTTTGATGCAATAAAGTAACTATTTCAGGCTTCATCCTGTCAACCTGCTGTGTTTGGTCTAAGAAGTTCCGAAAGGACCCAGATCTTGATGAGGACTTCGGTGGCCAGGGCCGCTCCAGGCTGGTCAAGAAACCTGCCCTGAGGGCCTCGGTCTGCACCAACGATGCGTTCCCATCAAGGACCCCGTGAGAAAGCAGCTATTTAACCACAATGTGAAAGAGCCCAGGGAAAAGGACACTCTTGATGCCCAATGAAGAGCCTCTGTAACCAGACTCCATCCACTGTGAGCAGGGCCTGGGCTGAAACTTGGCCATGAGGGTGGGAGGGCTGGGAGAGGTGGGTCCCTGTGGCCCTGGACAGGGCTGGACAGGGCTGGACCGGAGCCCAGCGCCGGAGGGCCTCGGGGGAGAGATGGGGAAAAAGGCCGGCAGGAAGAGAGACAGTGTGTGAGCGATTGAGAGAGAGGTGGGGGACAAGTCCTGGAGCATGACAGGAGGTGACAGAGGGGTCCAGGCAGGGAGAAGCAGAGACAAGAGGAGGCAGGAAGGAAAGAGGGAGTGAGCCCAGGGTGCATGGTGGGGGACGAAGGGCCAGGGTGGCCCGACTCTGGGAAGGGCCCAGAGTGGAGGGAGCAGAAAAGGCAGGAACCCTGGCCTCACAGTCCCTCCCATTCTGAGGCTCTGGCCTCCCTGGAGCTGAGCTCCCCAGGGGTCACCATACTTGCAAACACTGGTACCTCCCACTTTTCTTGGGACTGCTGGTTCCAGCCTCTGTCTGTCCCTGTCAGGCTGACTTCCAGGAGCGTGGGCTGCCCTTGGAGAGGAAGCTCTGGAGCCTGCCCAGTGGGGAGCTGACCCTGACTCCTCACAGACCCAGTGGGGCTGAGTTTCCAACCGCACCGTGGGCCTTCCTGGTCCCACAGCTGGGCTTCAGGTGCCGTGCTGGCCTCACGATCCCCCGGCCTGGAGGGACTGAGTCCCATCCAGGCTGAGCAGGCTTCAGGGATCCTGGGTCTTTGGTCAATGAGTGACTGTATGAATGAGTGAATACAGGGACTTGTATTCATCACGCTGTTCTCAGTAAACATTTTTACCAGTCATTCCTACACAATTGTGCGTCCCATGTTCCTTGAGAGTCCCTCCCCTAGGTAAGTGTGCACAAATCCCCACAGGGCCAGGCTGCAGGCAACATCAAGTGCTCTGTTAACTCTATGAAACCTGCACCTCAACTCATTAGCCTTAAATTGCCCCAGCCTCTTAGACCCGCACATGTGCCTTTGGGAAAAAGATGTGTGTGAAGTCAACTCAGGCCTGAGAATAGCTTTAACTGGGCAAAACAAAGGAAGACTTTCCACTGTTCCTTGAGGAAGCCTACAGACAGGTGGAGACCCACAACCAAAATTACTTTAGAGTAAGGCCCGTATTCCCACTCTGGCACTAGCACGTGCACCATACTGGGTTGCTACCCTCATGCGCACTGCCAATCTGGGGGTGCCAGGTGGTAGGTGCACAGTTTAAAACACCACAGCCTTCTCTTCCGATGAAACAAAGGTCTTGCTTCACCATATCTTCCTCTGGTTGTGAAGTGACAAAAGTCATTATTTGAAGGTCATAACATTGGACACTTGTAGGACTGATGGAAGTTTGTTTCTCTGCCTGCCATCTCTAAAGCACTTTCCATTGACAATCTTGGCCAAGGATGCATGCAGTGAATTAACATCAGGTATGTAGCCCCTTTGGTGTTTGCATCCTGACCCTGTTGTGTATGTGGCCAAATGGCAACTTTTGAAATAAGCTCACGATCAGGATGGTGATGCTAGAGAAACCGGTATAAACTGAATTTCATATATTTTCAAACGACCAGAAATTTTTTAAAAAATGGAGATGAGAAATCTGGAAAATAGCGTAAAAAATGTGTGAAAACTATCTTCGTGGATAAACACAATCATGTGTCATCTAGCATATGTAAAGTAGTAGCCTGGGTTTGAGACCAGTGCTTAAAGCAGTACATATTATGCAAAGACATTAATAAATTCTAGGTACCTTTCAACATTCAAAACGCAAAGGTTTCTTCGTTTTCCAGTCCCTGTGGGTAGGATACATCTCAGTCAGGGGGAAAGGCTGGGCTGGAGCGGAGCACCCGCTGCCCACCAGGAGTGACCATCGCATGGAGAAGTTCAGTGATTCCCCGGACTGCCAGGAGGGCAAACGCAGCCGTGGCTCTCCCCGCGGAAACGGCGCCCAAGGCTGCGCGACGGGAACTCAGCTCCTCCAGCCGGGAGGCGCCGTCGGTCGGAGCCACCCGACGCGGGCGCCCTCTGCCGGCCGCTGCTGCGCATGGAGGGAAAGTGCCGAGCCTGGCGGGGCGACTCGGAGGCGTTGGACCAACTGGTGAGCCTGAATCTGCCTCCTGGGGCTGAGTGCTGAGTGGGGGGAGGTTTGTGGGGCTTCTCCGGGACGGGGTGGTGAGCCGCACAGACCCTCGGGTTTTCTGGGCTGTTCCTGCTGCTTTAGTCTTTACTTTTACAAAAGCAGTTTGAAGAGGGCTTACTGATGAAAGTATCCGTAGGCTGAAGCCTTGACGACTCTAAATCGTAGATGCAGTGGTTTGTCTCCTTGTTTACAGATTCAAGAATGTCTCTGGGGAGAAATCCTGACGCAAATTGAGAGAACAGGAAACTGCCTTGAGTGGGAGCGTGAATACACTAAATGCTACGTAAATACCAGGACATTCCGGGACAACTCCATGTCTGGTCAGTGGAACCAGAAGGTGAAGTAAAAAGGGCGGAAGTGCGAGCTTCTCCGGTATCCTGGTGTGCTGGGCAAAGGCAACTTAGTTGCATTGATGATGCTTTTTCTGGTTGTAGAATAAGGAAAGAGACAAAGATAGATTTGCACTCCATTATGTTGCTAACACCTAAAGATGAATTCTTGCTGGTGAGTGTTTGAATCTGTGTTTTTAACTTGCTTTGATTCTCATAGTTTTAATTATACAATATGCAGGATTCCTCTGTTATGCAAGTCGCTTAGGCATTTCAGAAATCTGACACCATGTGACCTGGTTCAGAATGGAAATCAATGTTGAAAGAAAAAAAAATGGTTTTAGTCATTTGGTCGTAAGAATATTGTTTGATTATTATTGGCTTGTTAATCCCAATGTAATTGTAATAGCAGGTGTCTACCTTAGTTATGCCCCATATCTGATAGACTTCTCTTATTTATACCTTTAATATAGACTTTCTAAAATTTTTTTATTTTTAAAATTTCTTTTATATATTTTTATTTATTTATTTAGATTGGTGGGGGGAGGTAGTTAGGTTTACTTATTTATTTTTAGAGGAGATCCTGGGGATTGAACCCAGGACCTTTTGTATGCTAAGCACGTGCTCTACCACTTCAGCTATACCCTCCCCCACCCTTTGATACAGACTTTTAATTTTTTTCCCATTCATTCATACAGGATGGGTGTATTTTTAGGTATTTTTCAAAGGATTATACTTAAGCGATCCATGAATTCACAAAATCGTGGTTTTCATTCCAGTTTAAGTTAGTAACTTATTTTTCTCAGTTACAAATTGTCTTAGAAATTCATCAGTTAAAATGATTAACTATGTTTAAAATTTTTTGAATTTTTGTCAGGAAAATTTTTTTAAAAACCAGTTTTTGTAAGTGATTTTTTACCCCTAACCTAGATTGAGGAATAAATGATGTATAAGATGCAGCACTTATTTCAAGAAAGTAATTTGTTGAATTTTAATGTATGTGTGCAGCCATGTTACTGTCACCACTATCACTACATCCCGAAGGGTTTTCATGCTCCTTCCTCCTTTCTGTCCTTTACCTCCTGTTACGCGTACACTCCTTCCCCTCAAACTCTGGTGTGTGTTTTATAGAATTCCTTGGTATGGGATATGCCACGGTGGTTTATTCCTTACCTTAAAATGGAGCTGACTGTTTCCTTTTGTTTATGGGCCTTAAAGCGTAAACCCAGAGAGGCTCCTCTGCAGGACTGTCCCAGTGTGTACATGCAGTTTGCACATCCATGATGAACTGGTCAAGGGAAAAAGTCCACTTGGGCTTTGCGAAACTTTTTTAAACATCTACTAATTTGGGGAACTTTCCTTCAAAAGAACAAAAATATGTGGCATTTGGTCTTGCTAATAACCACATATATTTCATTATGGGACTACTGACACACACAGCATCATTGATTTATTAACATTTTACAAAACTTGATTTCTCACAAATTTGTCAGTCCATCGTATTTTTGATGTATTTCACATTAGATTGCAGCCATCAGTATAATTCCTCCTAAATACTTCACCATTCCTATGAGAACTAGAGTTTTATATTTTTACATAGTTTAATTTAATATAAAACTTAAGAGTGAAATATACAAATTTCAAGTGTACATTCACTGAGTTTTGACAAATACATACACCAGTACAATCCAAACTTCATTAGGTAAATAACATCACTGTCATCCCAGATTGTGCTCTTACCCTCCGTCTACTTAATCTCTGCCCTCATCACAGGTTAATTTTCCTTGTTCTAGAATTTCATGTAAATAAACACATACTGTATTGCTCCTTCTTCTTTCTTGTTCTGTTCAGCACAATGGTCTGAGATTTATTCATGTTGTTACACGAATCAGTAATTAATTCATTCCCATTGCTGAGCTGTATTCCTCTAAATGAATACCTCTGTTTGTTTAATGTACTGTCTTCAAGGATGCATTTGGAATTATGGCATCTAATTTTCAAGAAAATACAGTGAAATCTAGAGCCATCCCTGTAGAACAGTGCTCAGGAGCAGTTTGCACATAATCTAGGAAATCGGAGAAATTACACCTATTAGCATCACATACATTTTAATGCCTTTGGTTTAAACAAGCCTCAGAAGTTGTTTATTTCAGATTAATGTCATATTTCTGTTGACATAAGTATTTTTGTCCTATGCTGATCTTTAAGTGATAAAAATCAACTATCCTACTAAAGGTGTGATTCAGAAATTTCAGCACAGCATTACACACAAGAACTGGTTGTGTCCCAGGTGAACTGGAAATGGCGCTTTACTTAAAGACACCCACAGTCACAATGTCTAACCATCCTACAAGCCACTAACCAACCACGAGGGTGCCAAGTTGCAACCTTTTTGGAAGCAGTGGGACCCACTGGGGATATGTGCGGTTGTGGTTACCTGTTGGACACTGGCTTGTGATTGTGGAAGATGAATCTTTGTGACAGCTATGTTTTAAATAAATGTCTTTGAGACATTTTATTAGTTAATTCAAATTATGTTAACATGATTTTGATTTCACCTCCTTGGTGTGGTGCCTGACCACCTTCATCCTGGCCCTGACTTTTATGGTTTCCTTTGAAGTCTCTCCTTGCTGCCTGCCTGGGGATTGCTATCCTGGCCATTTACCTCTGGAAGACGATCCTTGCTGTGAGTATATTATGGTACTTTGTACCTGTCCCCTGAATCATAAATACGCAAGGGCTTTGATAGTCCCTGCACCTTGCATTTGTTTCCTTCCAGATTATTAACATGAATGCAAATTGATGTTTGACATCGAAATAACCTTAGAAAATATTTTAAACTTTTAAAATAAGGAACTCAGTATGACGACTATAATCTCACTAAGAAAACTTTAAGACCTAGTTCTTTTCTATGAAAAGGAAGTCATAGATCTCAACCTTTGATAGGCACTTTCTTACACTGTTAAGGACTTGTGACTTATCATAATGATTCTTAGATACAATTTAAGGATATATGAAACCTTAAAAATGTTCATTTCCTTTAATTCAGTGTGATTCCACTTCTCATAACCCCAATGAAATAATCAGACATGCATTTAAAGATGTGTGAGAAGGGAAAATACAGTAGCAGCCTAAATGATGCTTGGTAAGAGAATTGTTAAATTACTGTACATCCATACAGTGTGATATTAGGCAGCTTTTAGAATTCATATATTGCAAAGACATTTTAAGAAATGGACAATATTCTTTAGTATGTGTAAGCACATTTGACTTTTATGATTGGATTACCACATTTTGTTGATTCTTATTTTGTGGTTGGCATTATTCCTTTGATAACTAGGTAGGTTTAAAAGGCTAAAGCTCACCCAGTAAGAAGGCCACAGGGTGTGAGTGAGTCAGGGATGGACCCAACCTCAGGTCTTCTAGGACATGTAAGACCAGGAAAGTCAACCTCTCTGTTCCTGGATCTCCTCACTCACAGAAGGAAGGTAACAGACCTACACCAGGGCTTCTGTAAGGAACAAAGAAGACAGCAGCTGGTCGCAAATTCTAAACAGGTTTAGTTCTGCCGTGCTAGCATTTAAAGAATAACTGTAAATACCATAGCAAAGATCATGAAGGAAGATAGAAGAAATGTGTGTCTTTAAATGCTAGTTCCCTGCCTGGCTGATGGTTCAGCTTTTATTCATTCATTTATTTGTAAGGAAAAATGTTTAAACACTTAGATGATGAAGGATGTTATATTAAACCCTTTTCCCTAAATCATCAGAGATAACAGAAAATGCTTCCTAAGTAGATGGGTGAGTTGCTGATAATTTCCCTGGGGTTTCTGGAATCTATTCCAAGACCTCCAGGGTCTGCCTTTGAATTAAATCCCAACTATTGTCCCAGACCCACCTCAGTGTCCTCACCCTCAGTCTATACTCCAGGTCACCCCATTTTTCCCTTCCCTGAAGCCGCAACCCCTGCTGGCTTGTAACTGTTAATTCACATACCATCTGAACCTATGACCCGCATTCTTCAAATTCATTATCTTATATTGATACACAACATTTTCATATTTTACCTACATACTATTATTAAAAGAGCATTCATATGTAATACATTGCAAGATTTGGCTGGACAACAAACACACCGGCTCATTCATGTATTTTCTTTTTTTAAGTTTTGCATTCTTCATAGAAACTACCCCGATTCCATGCAGGGAACTAAATCACAGTGTAACTTCCGTTTTGGTGTCCTGCTCTAAGTACTATTCTAAAAACTATCCGATGTTTCGAGGTAACATCGGAGCAAACGCTTCTGACTGCAGCTGCTGTATTCGGGGATATGATGTGTTTCACAATATAGCTGATTTCTTTCAACTTGGGTTCATTTTTAAATGGCTTTACTAAAACTAGAATGAGGTTTTTAAATTTTAAAACCTCGAATACAAAGATAATGCCTGTGCAAAAATATCTCACTCACTATTCACAATGACCTGTAGTTTAAACCGAATTTTTATTAGTATAAAGTATGATGTTTAGGCATCAGAGAAATCATATGGAGCATGCAAATTTGGCTCTCTTGATGGTTGAATCATCTTCCTTTCCACACTTCCTAGGGCTCATCCTTCAGACCTTCCAGATATCAAGCCATGAGAGAAGAAAAGTTGTAATTCACCCGAGTTTCAGTTATAAACTCATCCGTCATCATCTTCAGAGAGTTTGTAAGTGTCAGCTAGATTGCATTGGCCAGCTTTTCAATTACAAGAAATTAATCACTTAAAAGGAGAATGGGACCCACAGAAAGTTTACTCCCTCAGCCTCAAAGTGTCCAGTGTGGCCATAATTTGAGAGTTACTTTATATCTCAAAAAAGTGCTTTAAAGTGCATCCATCTTGTGAGCTGTCTGTGTTGTTTTCATTTCACTAGGAAATTTTAATTAATATTTAATGAGCCCACTCTAGTCAAGTCTGGTGTTTGGTAAGGATAAGACAACAGTCTAATTACATTTGCCACTAACACATGCACACTGTAATTTCTTTTTAAAAAGGAAAGAAAAGAAAGGATAGAAGTTAAAGAAAATGAAAATCTCTCATAACTGCATCACTGATTCAAAGCAGCTCTCACTATACGAAGAGATACTTGGTGTACATCTTCCAAAGACCTGTTACCAATGCATGTAGACATGTATTTTATATTTTTATAAAGAGAATCAGTATTTCTATACTTAACATATGACCAAACATTTCTATCTCATTGTATATAAAACTACATATCTTTTCCCAACTGTACAGAAGCCTGTCAAGTTGACTGGCCATCATTTATTTAACTCATTATTGGTGACCACTTAGTTCAATCCCAAATTTTCCCCACTGAAAATTATGAACATCCTTTACTTACGTCTTTGAGCACATATGTGACGATCCCAGGAATAAACTCCTAGATGTGGAATTGCCAGTGTAGAGATCACATCTGGACATTCTGGAATCCTTCCAACCAGACATGAGAACCCATTTCTCACACCCCCACTCTGGACGGTCCTCATCTTTATGAGATTGTCAATTCGGCAAATTATTCCTATGCATGCTGAATACATGTGACCCTTTATGTTGTATCTCCTGATCCTTAATGAAGCTTGCCTTTTCTTACTGATCAGTAGGAGCCCTTTACAGACACAACACACTATGGGTACTGATCATTTGTTAATTGCACATATTAAAAACATTTTCCCAGTAAGTTTTTTTGGGGAGTAGTCATTTTTCAAAGGAGTAACACAAAGTTTTTTGAGTTTTCTGTTGTCACATCTATGAACCTTTTCCTATGTGGCTCGTGATCTGTGGATATACGCTGGGATAGATCAGTTCCATCCCTGGATGATCAGTGGACTTTTCTATATGTTCTATACATACAGGACATAAAGGAAATGGGAAACTTATGTTATCTTCCCAAATAATTATCCAATTGTCCCCAAATCATTAATACACTAATGAAACTTTTCCCTTCAATAACTGAACAATGTCCTTTATCCCGAGGGTATAATCACACATGTATATTTTGAGTTTCTGGACAAAAAAAAAAAGCATTTTCTCTCATTTTTAGTTTAACCCCTTGATTGCCATTATAAAAAAAATAAGAGTGCATGCAATTTTATTTTAAATTATTTCTCTAAAGACTATTCTTTGGATAAATGGATTTATTTTTACTTGTGTTTGACCAATCTTACAAGAATGCATTAAGAATTTTTCTCTACTGAAAAAAAAAAGCTAAAGCTCTAAACTGTTCTTAGAAACAATAATACATATATGTAAATTTTAAAAATATGTGCAGTATATTGTACGTATGTTTTTACATGCAGTATATTGTATATGTGCAGTCAAATTGTAATAATTCTACCTAAAAAAATTCAAAAATGCAAAAAAGAGAAATGGACAAGGTTAATGTCAAATGGAAAAAGCAGAAACCATGAGTTTCTATACAGTGTAGCTTAAAAGGTATATGCTTCTATGTACAGTAAGAACAAATTAAAAGTGTTGCATGAAAATATCATAAAATAGAAAAAAGAAACATGCTTTTCTATAGGGGACAAGGTAATTTTAAAGTTTTTTCTAATGCATTTCTGTTTACAAAACTTGCTGATTTGATTATGTCTTGTTGTGCTCATATAATACCTTCTTTGGAAAAGCATTATACTCTCTGAACATGTGCAGCAGTCTTTTATTAACAAACCAAGATGAAACTTGAAGATGTGGTTAGATTAAGACCAACACTAGGGCATAGGTAACTGCTATACATAACTCACTGTAGTGAAGTGAAATGGTCCTGGCAAAAAGCATCCTCTGTTTACTCTGTCACATCCTCTCATTTCTAAGCACATTGATGTCCCAGGCACCCTTGGACATGGTTTCTATTTTAGGATCTGTTAATACGTTAACTTAGGAGAGAGCAGGACAAGAGCTTATTTGAGAGATGCGTCAGTTATCCAACGTTGTCGGGAACAAATTATTCTGTATAAACGAGCTTTGCAGATGACTTAAATTAACTGGTCCAAGTGGCAGAGTTTGGAGTGCAAAGTTCTAAAATTGAGAACAGATCCCCTGACTTGTTAATTATAACAGACCTGTCATTGTAAGTGAAATATCCTCATGCATATTGATTGGAAAATTCACTCAAATCAAAGGTCTTTCTCCTGGATTTCTGTGGCGTGTTTTATCCCTCACTGGCCATGAGATGCCCTGTGAAGAAAGAACATCACAGGGTGCAAAGGAGGTTGGAGAGGGAGAAGGGAAGCAGCTCATGTCTCCACTCTGCTTCCCGCATTTGGAACAGCCCTCTGCTCTGATTTTCAAGGGACTCTTGTCTGTGTCCATATTTTGCCCCGTAGCCTCAGCACGCACTTTTGCCCCTCAGTCCTTCCTCTGGGTCACATGCCTGTTGCTCCTCCCGCTCATCTCTGCCTGTGAGTGAGATGCCATCGGACAGAAGGGGCTCACTGCTGAGCAAAGTGTGACTTTAAAGGGATATCCTTGGCTTTCCCCTTTCCCGGTGCTTTTCCTGTGATAGCATTATTGTAGGTGCTGTTTGACTACTGCATGATATTCTGATATCTTGGCAAGTTTTTCAGGATAAACTCAGCATCTGATCGCCATTTATAACTTTTGATTTGGGAACTAGGTACCAGGGGCCAAGACAGTGTGTGTTTACATGGTGTTTGACAGGGGCTTTGCTTGGATTTTTTTGAGCTGCCATCCAGTGGTGTCTTTGGGGGTAAGTCACACATGGGAGCTCTTTATACCCTTTTTATAAATGTCAGCTGTCATTACTGTTGCTGCTTGTGCATTTTCTCTAGCCAGTCTCCACTCCACCTCTCACTTGGCAACCTTTGTCACTAGTCATCTGGGAAAGATCATAGGACCTGATTTGTTGGAACCATTTGATGGTTCAGCAAATAGTTAACAGTGAATAAAAGAGTTCTAAGGTGTTTCTGGTGTGTGAAAGAGGCATATCTTAGTCCAATGATTTTGCCTTTGCTACTGTTTCCTAAGAGTCTTTGAAACGGTCCTTGGTTCTGGATTATTATGGCCATTGGATTTGAGAAAAAACAATGCCAGGTAAATGGTGCACTAGGATAGTAATTATAAATATCTGCCATTTCCATGATTAAAGTTAAATAGACTGGTGCTCATTTAGAAGACTGTAAACAGAGCTTTTGCTCTAAAATAAGATATTTACCTTGATTCTCTCTCAGAAATGGGTTAGGAAATATCACCAACTGAATAGGAAATTTTTTATTTTACTTTTAAAAATTCTATGAATTAATTATGCTGTGCTGCATCACTTGTATACTGCCATTGGGTCAAAGTTTGGCTTGTTAGGAACTTAAATTTCTACAAAATAATATGCTTTTACATCAAATTTAATTTTCTTTCTGTCTCTTCTAAGTAAAGCCTCAAATATTTCAAGGTACGATTTCAGGCTTCTGTTTTCTTTGTAATAGTTCCTCAGTACAGGTGTTTGTGTTGGTTCTAATTTGAGTGGATGTAAATACCTTGACTTCTCAGGTCTAATTTGCCTCTTCAGAATTTTACTATTCCTGGTTTGTGGCCTAAATGACAGCATTTTAGGATTGAGTCACCACCTGTTGAGACAGGAGCCCAGGAGAAGGAACAGGTCACACTGGTAGGAAGAAGCGGGTGCATTTAATTCCATTTAGAAAAGTTAGGGAATCTGGTGAGTCTGAAGTTTGAGGGAAGTACTTTGGCCTGACCTGGCTCACGGGGAAGTGTAAAGATTACGATACTGTCTGAGGTTATCAAACTTACGGCTTAGAGATGAAGACAGGTATCGCCAGTCAAAGTGTGTGTCACAGCAGAGGCTTCAACTATGCGTTGAGTCCTCAGTGGAAGGAGCTTCAATGTCACTAACGAATGAGTGGAAATGAAAGGATGTAAAATGCGGATAATGAGGTCTGTGCAGGCTTCCCAGGCTGTGACGGTTATGTGGAGCTGTGTGTGGGGAGGCAGGACAGCCGTCTGGCACACATTTATTAGGTCCTCGAATGCGGGTGTTTCTTGTGGCGAAGTGCACCCCCAGGGTAGGGTATAGAGAGGTGTGACCTCAGGGCAGCAGAGATGTCACGTTGTTAAGATAGAGGGTAAGTCTGTACTTTGGGGTCAGACAATATAATTAAATGCCTGGCAGGAGGTTGTGGCATCCTGGTCCCTGCTCTCGGGGCTTTCCATGGTGTTATCCACCTGTAAGGCGAGTGTTTACCTACACGGTGCATGAGAACCTTCGCGTCTGGGGCTGATGACTCTTGTGACTCAGATTGTAAGGTGTTCGTGTTCTCAGCAAGTAAGTGGTAAAGCCAAGGTTGTACCCAAAGGTGTGTGATTCCAACGGCTGTGTCCTTCCAAGCCACCCACCCTGGTTCTTATGAAAGGAAAATTTCTGGGCAGCAGGAAGACATTGGAGGTCTGAGTAACCAAGCAAGTGGTATTAGAAAGATTTCTCTGGGTAATTTAAACTGTGGGCGGAGGTGGGGAAAATCTGGAAGAAGTCACGAATTTTCTTTTTTCTTTTGATTTTTTAAAGCAGTTGCAACAATCTGCTTACTTTATTGGTGACAGGAGGACAACATTTAAGTACATAGGGTGTTTGATTTTTTTCTCTTCTGTATCTATTGATGGAGGTGCTATTTGAACTGTTGACATTTTCTAAGCTGTATGTTCCTTAATGATGTGATACTAGGTGGAGACACTGTATTGTGTTTCCCCATTTTTGAAGAAAGGTTGAATAGGAATCTCACTTTAATAGAGTTCTTACTTTCACATTTGTTTTTTACATTTAAAATGCTACTAACTAAATTTGCCTTCTTCAGGGATCACAGTAATGCTGAAAGGATATTTTTGCTCAGAGTACCAGGATAATGTGGCTTTGCTTTTGAAATGTTGGGGTAATCTGATTTTGCTTGTTTTGGTGATAATATTAGAGATTTTTTTTTTTATCTCTTTTTAGTTAATTTATACCGAATTTCTGAGGCGATCAAGCATTGCATGAACGAAAACTCAGAACTTGTAGAAGAAATATGCAGGTGCACACAGAAGGCATAATCATCCCTTCATTCCCATTCTCATGGCCTCCCCTTGAAGGACGTCTGCCTCCTTCTAGCTCACTGACTTCACTGTCTCTTCTTTCCTCCTGGTGTTCCGTTTCATTATATTCATTATATTTGCCCGTTCAAAGCAAACATCATACCCACGTAAAGTACTGTTTTCTTTGTTTCTGTAAGGACTCACCCACAGGAGATTGGTTTTGCTATAATTAATGGTTTTGATTTCTGAATCCATTCTTACATAATTGTATAGATCAACGAAATAAAGAAATGTACTAAAGAAGCCATGAGGGAAAATAAGATTCTCTCCAATGAAGTACATAGATTTAAGGTTAAAAAAACAAAAACCCTTCTTTTTCTGAGATTACAGACCACTAAAACAGAAGTAAAGTAATGAGTGGCTATTACTGACCTCTGTGTTTTCTTGTAGGATGATATCAAAACACTTGAGAAGATGAATGAAATCCTTGATGATGTCATTCAAGATGTACATACTGAACTGCAATCTAAGAGAGATCAGAGTGTCAAGAATCGGAACTTGGTGAGAATTTTGCCACTCAGTGTTACTGTCATTTGGTTTCTGAGGCTTTTTTGTGTGTTGGGTGAATTGGACCCTGCATTCTTCCATGCTGCTCATTTCAAGTATTAATACCACAGTAACATTTCTTTTTTTTAAATTTAAGGGCCTAGGAATAATTTCATTCACGAACCTGGGTAATTTTTATATAGTTTAGCACTACCCTTTAAGAAAAATAGAACTGAGAAACTGTAGAAGAGAATCCTATAGATTTCAAGCCACATTGAACAGTCCTACCCCTCTTAATAAAAGCAGAGAATTTTCACAGTGAATCTGGGCACAGTACGTATCTTTCACTAGGAAAACTCATTCATTTAAGCTGCATGGCTTGAAAGATTTCAGACCTTTATTTAGCCTTGTCACTCAGTTGACTAATCCATTGTCTTGAAAGCAGGAAATTCAATTTCCCATGAACTATTTATACCTTCAGCTGTTCTCTTCTTTACAACTTTCATGTGTTTGACTTGTCTCTTTGGCCCAAACTAGATCAGCTGCTTTAATGACACAAAGGCTGGTATGGGATGTGCTACTAGACATTTCTTTTTAGCACATGGCCTAGTGTTTCTTTTGAAATCCTAGTACATGTTGTTTCCATCCTACATGCACACAGTGGAAAGGAAAAATCTACAGAGTATTTGTAAAGGTGTTATTTCTTTTTTTTTAACTGAAGAATAGTCACTTACAATGTGTCAATTTCTGGTATACAGCATAATGTCCCACTCATACATATATGTGTGTATGTATATGTATTTATGTATATGTATATATATACATATATTCATTTTCTTGTTCTTTTTTTATTAAATATTATTACAAGGTATTGAATATAGTTCCCTGTGCTATACAGAAGAAATATGCTTTTTAAATCTATTTTTATACATAGCAGTTAATATTTGCAAATCTCGAACTCACAAATTTATCCCTTCCCACTCACTCCTCCCCACGCCGGTAACCATAAGATTGTCTACTATGTCTGCAAGTCTGTTTCTGTTTTGTAGATAAGTTTCTGTTTTGTAGATGAGTTCCTTAGTGTCTTCTTTTTCCTTTTTTAAATTCCACATGTAAGTGATATCATATGGTATTTTCCTTTTGCTTTCTGACTTACTTCCCTTAGAATGACAATCTCCAGGTCCATCCATGTTGCTGCAAAGGGCATTATTTTATTTTTTTGTTGGCTGTGTAGTATTCCATTGTATAAACAAACCACAACTTCTTTATCCAGTTATCTGTCGATGGACATTTAGGTTGTTTCCATGTCTTTGCTATTGTAAATAGTGCTGTTATGAACATTGGGGTGCATATATCTTTTAGAATTAGAGTTCCCTCTGGATATATGCCCAGGTGTGGGATTGCTGGATCATATGGTAAGTTTATTTTTAGTTTTTTGAGGACTCTCCATACTGTTTTCCATAATGGCAACATCAAACTAAATTCCCACCACCAGTGTAGGAGGGTTCCCTTCTCTCCACAGCCTCTCCAGCATTTATCGTTTGTGGACTTTTGAATGATGGCCACTCTGACTAGTGTGAGGTGATACGTTATTGTGGTTTTGATTTGCATTTCTCATATAATTAGGAATATTGAGCATTTCTTCATGTGCCTATCAGCAATTTGCATGTCTTCATTGGAGAACTGCTTGCTTAGGTCTTCTGACCATTTTTGGATTGGGTTGTTTGTTTTTTTGTTATTAACTTGTATGAGCTGTTCATATATTCTGGAAATTAAAACTTTGTCAGTCACATCATTTGCAAATATTTTCTCCCATTGCATAAGTTGTCTTATTATTTTGTTTATAGTTTCCTTTGCTGTCAAAAGCTTATAAGTTCACTTAAGTCCCATTTGTTAATCTTTGCTTTC